CATGAGTAACCACAGTAGTGAAAAACACAATGTCTCTGTGTGCATTGCTACTACAGCAGCGATACTATTGCTACTACTGTCTCTTTTTGTCGTTCAGCTGAGTGGATTACTGTTTCTCCTGTTGGAATATCTACTGTTTGTTTTCTCCAGCTCACATAACTTTCACCCCTGTTTCTATTTAGCATCTTCTACTTAATGATCCCACTAGCAGTGTGAATAGGTGTCTTGTTTTAGTGATTATACTGTTGCCGCTAATATTTCTGATGGCTCCATGTCTTCTAGAGCCACAGTGGTGCAGGTGGCCCTGGGGGCTTTACAGTTGCAGAACCCTCCCAGGTACCAGGGCCTAGCAAAAACGATCATCACACATGAGAACTACACTCAGTTTACAAAGGGCTTTGACATCGGCCTGGTGGAGCTGAAGGAAAAAGTGTCTTTCAGTCAGTGGATAAGTCCTGTGAATCTGCCCTCACGCTTTGAAAACATCAGTCCAGGCTTGCAATGCTGGGCTACAGGCTGGGGGAATATTCGAGAAAACGGTAGGAGACTGACCTCTGTGTCTCAGTCATGGTTCTGTGGGCTAGAATAGGGGGAGGAGAGAAACAGGGAAAATGTCTTTACAGTGAGTTACAGACTATAGTTCACTGGGGGAAATATCTGTGTGTGTGTGTCGCATTACTGAAGAGCATAGATAGCATCAAAGAGCATCTTTGAAGTGATTAATCGGTCTGCAGTCAGAAGGGATGGATCTGTAAACTCATATTAAGATCAGGTCTTTCACGTTTTCTTTCTCGTCCTTTTATTGTGCTTGGATAGCCTTTACTCCTCACAGCCGTGATTAAAGAAATAGCCAGCTCTGAATTGGAGGACCCAGAGAAAATGGGTGGATGGATGTATTCATAGAGTGTATATAGAGTATTCATAGATTCAGTAACCTGGCAGCCAGCAGCTGTATCACCCTGCAACTCACCGCTTGCAGCCCCACTGGAGCTCAGCAGGTGAGAGCCTGGCCAGTACCTGGATGGGAGACCTCCTGGGAAAAACTAAGGTTGCTGCTGGAAGTGGTGTTAGTGGGGCCAGCAGGGGGTGCTCACCCTGTGGTCTGTGTGGGTCCTCATGCCCCAGTATAGTGATGAGGACACTATACTGTACACAGGTGCCTGACTCTCTGTGGCCATTAAAACTGGATGGAGACAGCAGAGGTTTAAGAATGTGCTTTTCCCAGCAATTATTTCAAATCTATGATACTTTTCAAATAGTAAGAGGAGGCAGGTCTCTCTATATGCAACATGTACTGTGGATATTTTCTTCCTTGATATTTTTTTAATAATTCTTTTTAAGAAACCAATGGCTCTAGGACTGGGTTCAGGCATGGACATATATAGAAGGCAGAACATCATCAGGCTTCTCTGTTTTAATAGTTTGGGATAGTGTCTTTCATGATAGAACATTCAAAGCTACAGTGAAACATTGGAGATACAGATAGAGATTAATTAAAACAGTAAATTTAACAGAATTAAATGCTACAATATCAATGTAAGACCTAAGAAGGGATTTGAAAGTGATAACTTTGAATACATCTTTCAAGCATTGAAAAATGTCAGATTCCCAGCAGTTCAGATAGCAGTGTCTCTGGGTCTCATGTCCTTTGAGTCCAGGTGTCACATCATGTCAGTTCAAGCAAGTGTGAAGCTTCCTTGTGTCCTGGTCCTGATACGCATGAGACTGAAAATATTAGTTCAGGTGGGTAGCTGCGTCAGCATGCATAGCCTGCAAAGGAACAAGTAATAGGTTTATTCCATGCTGAAAAAAAGAGGAGAGAAAACACAACATTTTGGCCGTGGAGCCTTCTTCAGGTATGATTCTTCAGACACCTGAAGAAGGCTCCACGGCCGAAACGTTGTGTTTTCTCTCTTCCTTTTTTCAGCATGGAATAAACCTATTACTTGTTCCTGAAAATGTTATGTACCTTGTCTTTCAATTTTTACTCTGTATCTGCAGTGGGTCTGGAATATCCTTACACTCTACAGGAAGTCAGACTCCTCATTGTAGACAACCAGCAATGTAAAAAGAGGTACAATGACATCATTAGACCAGACATGCTGTGCACTGAGGTCCCTGGGGGAGGGAAGAGTCCCTGCCAGGTAAGTCAGACTGCCTGTGAGCTACTGAGGCTCTTTAACCCTTTCAGCAGGTACAAGACTATATTCACTAGTTCAAACAGGGAAGAGCCCCTGCCAGGTGAGTCAGACTGCCTGTGAGCTGCTTGGCTCTTTAACCTTTTCAGCAGGTACAAGAGTATATTCAGTAGTACAAACAGGGAGGGAAGAGCTGCTGCCAGGTGAGTCAGACTGCCTGTGAGCTGCTGAGGCTCTTTAACCTTTTCAGCAGGGTCAAGGCAACAGTATCAGAGTAGAAATCTTCTCGACCCTTAAGTATTTTGAAATTGATCTGCAAAATCAGTGCTTAGAAACTGAATAAACAGCAGGCATGATGACCATCAGTCCATTCCTGCTTCTAACTTTTTTGCGCTTGAGAGCTGCTGTTGTAAATCGATCGATCTTGATGTCATTTCTCAAAAGCTGGACACTGTAGATCATGTGAACCATTACTGCACCTGTACATCTCCCTGTGTTTTCAGTCACAGGGGCTGGAATAAGGAAATACTATCAGCTCTCTCTTTCCTCTCCAGCAGTCAGCTATCTTGTCCACACAGTACTCAGATACAGGTGATGAGTGAAAGATTAGAATTGTAAGACAGACAGAAAAACACGAGACAGGTCCAATCTAGCCATTTGGTAGATGGTAGCTGATTGACCCAGGATCATTAAGTCATTAGTAGTTAGTTGAGCAGAAGATCCAGCTGTGTCTTGAAAGAAGCCAGGTTATTGAAAGAAACCTGCACAGCAGCTTCAACAACACAGCTGGGCAGCTTGTTCCACACTCCCACCACTCTCTGTGTAAAAATGTGCCTCCTGTCCTGACTGGAGTGTCTCACCTAGCTGTGTTTTGAGAAAAGTCAAGGTATCAGCTTTAACAACATGGTTGGGCAACTTGTTCCACTCTACCACCACCACACGTTTGCTACCACACAGTGTGACATTCTGAGCATTTTTCACAAACATCAGATGGTATGATGTTGGTTTGTATGTATTTAAAAGAATACGTCTACAAGAATCAGCCCCCCTTGTGATCTTCTCTGCTCAGTCTCTTTGGACAATAACTCACAGAATGTTGTCAGTCCTTCAAGACTTTCTCTCAGCTTTTCAAAACTCAAAGATTCACAAAACATTTCACGGATGTCACACCAAACTTCTCTTATTCTCTGCAGGGCGACTCTGGAGGTGCTCTGGTCTTCAAGAAGGGGAATGTTTGGGTCCAGGCTGGGATTGTGAGCTTTGCACTTGGTTGTGCTCGACCAGAATTTCCCAATGTCTACACCCGGGTCTCCAGCTTCCGAGACTGGATACAGACCAAGTCTGGAGTCTGAGGCTGACCTCAGAAACCCAGCAGCTCCCTCTGCAGACTCAGAGATGGTCCCACAGCTTCTAGAGCTCATAGGTGCTTCAGCCACAGCTCACCAGCTCCTCTGTCTCACTGTCCTATAGTGCTTGTTTCATCCCCTCTTGCTTCTCTTGGTTTTACTCTGCCAAGAGATCAAGACTGATTTGTGAGAGATCAGTTATCCTGCAACTCTGTCAACAGCTCAATAAAACTGCAAGCATTCAAAATCCTGGCCTGGATACTGAAGTTATTCACAGAGTAATCAGTGAGGATTGGGGTACACATAGAGAATGGGGTTCACTGTTAGACTGACAGGAATCAGTGAGGATAGGGGTACACCTGGAGAATGGGGTTCACTGTTGGACTGACAGGAATCAGTGAGGATTGG